AATGTGAATTCGATAAGTGGGTTGCCGCCCGGTGGAGCGCTCGGAGGTCTAGGAGCAATGACGCTGGGGAAGGGCAGAACCGCCGCCAGCGCAGCAGCAGCAGCTATCAACAAGAAACCTACAATCATCGTCAAGCCGCTAGAAGCTATAATGGGCGGTATAAGCCTAGGAACGGCATCGGGGGCGGCTGGTTGCATTGCATGGAGAATAGGGGTTCATGGATCATTCTTTTAACCCCCATACATTCTAACTATGATATACATACTTATCCTCGTCCATGTACCCCTTATAACTAATAATATGTACCTTATATCACCGCTCTTACCTCTCTCGTTATCAGCACGACTTCGATGCATAGCCAATTAATATATATGTACCACACAAAGCTGTCCTAGTGCTAGTCGTATTTGCTTCCATCAGTAGTCTTCCGTCCTTAGCGAGCTGCAGGATGCCGGCATGGACATGGACATGGACATGGTCTCATATAACCCTTAGATAGTTATATGAATCAATCTAGATTAACTTATCATATACTATCGGTGACTCATATTAAGCCATGACATTTTACGGAAAACAGGTTCAACACGGACCAAGAATCCCGGTTAATCGCATGGTAGTTATATATATGTTTTGCATTGAACCCCGAAAATATGTCAGTAGTTAAATGAACTAAGTTTAAATCCAGCGGAGACAAAGATTCAAGCGTTTGCGTGGAGATCAACAGTTGATCAATTCAGCACAAAAGGGGCCGGGGGTTGCTGCCAAAATGATTTGAGACACACTATATCAATCACCACCACTTGTGCACTAAGACACTGCCCCTCGATACCCGCTGGTTTCTGCCATCGAAAGGACAAAGCAAACTCAGTTAAACGAAAAAGGAAGATGTTCGTGGTTATCATAAACTTTCAACTGGGCCGAGGGAGGCGGACTCTAGGCATTTTGTTAGGCGGTCTCAATGAATACATTGGCATTGAGGGAGAGCTCACCCAAGCCTTAGAATATGAAGATATCCTTTATCCACGGCGGTAGCAGTGGCCATCACTTCCGCAGTGGGTGGTGCCAGCGGCGCAGCAGGCCTTTGGACAGCAGGAAACAGCCTGCCTGACGCAACAGAAGTTGTATGCACTGCAGTACAAGGGGTGGCTGGGAGGGCATTGGGCGGCAGTAATGGACAAGAGCTGGGAGCTGGCGTCCATGTCAGAGTTCTGCTGCATCGGGGCCTCCGTGAGCATATTATTTGGACTCGGAGCAGCAAGGGCTCCTGCGAGGAAGGGGATGAGGGCGAGGACTGCGGAGAACTTCATTGTGGTTTATGGGGTAATTGTCTGGTGCTATGATACTGTTCTTTTGCTTTGTCTTGCTGGTGCTTTGTTGATTGTCTGGTTTTGCTGTTGAGTTTCCTACCTTCACTAAGGGGGCGAAGGCCCCTTAAATAGCTGTGGACTCGTGCATATATCCAGTTCAACCTCTCACAAACAGCCCCGACGGGGCATGTCCTTCGCAAACAAATTCCTCTAGAACAGTTCATCAAAGGGTATACTGGTCACTCTTAATCAATTTCGTGTCACGCCGTAGTTGTCTGGTCTTTCCCCCGCTTGGAGGGCAGATCACCACCATTCAATTGTAAATCATTGCCAAATCCCGAGCACTATGTTGCTGATAGAAATAGAAACCACCGAAGATACTGGGCGTTATTGGCTAGTAGGCAGGTCGTATCATCATAAGATGCAGATAGAATACGGGTGCGCCTGGTTAAGCAGCAGGTCGTATACTGTACAACCCAGATAGTATCCATCAAGGACAGCTCAAACTTGGGTCCCTTGTTCCCGCTGTCTTAGGAAAAGAGGTCGGGCTGATTGGTCCGAGCTGCCTTTGTATTACTCCAGGACGATCATGGTATCAGCTGAGCTCCGGAGAGTAGAGATAGAAAGTGGGTAAATGCGGCTCAACACGATGAATAAACCACGTTGTATAGCAACTTAACCCTCAGGTAAGAGAACAGTGTCAGTCGCACAGAGTGCCCGTACCACACCAGGAAGCAAAATAGATAGCAAGATAACATCATCATCTGCCCGGCATATCCGTCCAGAGCGTAGGATCTTTGCTGCTGTGGGAAAGCTTTGGCGGCCCAGCCAGTCGGCCTGGGAAGATAGGTGGTTAGACAGAAATACTCGTGAGCCACATCTATGTTTGTCCAGATAGGCCCGTGCGTATAAGCGGGAGGTCAACATTGAAATCGGGGAAATAAGGTAGGTTATAACTGGATGGCGAGTTTGCCATTATAGTTTACCTATTAGTAGGACGGTTAGAATACACCCCTGGCAGCTGAAGCAACGTTTAATGTTATTGTTTTGTTGTTATTATTAGTTATTGGCTAGGAATCGTGGACTTCAGTCAGGCTCGGAGGACACTGGTGACAACGTAACCTGAATGTGACATGTCGAGAGTCAAGACCTCTTTTGTAAGAGCAAGGAAGTTGACAAGAACGCCCAATATCTTGGGACAGCAGGAAAGGGGACTTAATCTGGAGTGATAAGCAGTCAACGCCAGTAAATCGCAAGTTGAATACGGGCATACCTCTGAACCTGATGCAGTGTCCAGCCAAAACTCTCTGGCTCGTGCTCAGCCACTTGCAGATCAACGCCAGACGAGCAGAGTGACGGTATATCTCACTCTCACGCCTAGGTACGCCATACAAGAGCGAATCAATGTGTGCAACATTTACCGGAGATAGGGTCCAGTTGAACGTGATGGAAGATCCATAGAAAGTGAGCTGAAGAGCAAGTGGAACAGCAATCAGTCTTACTTACTCTGCATTCACTTCGCTATGCTTAGGGAGGGGACCGCTGTGTAACCGCGAACTGCCCTTTAGCCAATGTCAGCTGAGTTTGTAAGAAGCTTTCGGAGCCCTGAGATACACACCAGGTCTATTTTTGGCTCACGGCTGCAGCCTTTCGTCGAATCCTCTGCCTTTTGCGAGGTATTTGGTTCTAGCCCATCAGCGGAGTAGGTAGGCTGCTTGAAGATGCATATTCAGGTGAGTCCTTTTCAAGGAAAAAGGGAAAAAGACATGTGGTTGCAAGCATATTGAAGGAAGAAATGAATGAATGAGAAAAGAGAGAGAACATCTGTATCTTCATTTATGTCTGCTGATTAAATTTGCCTTCCCGATTCTGAAGATACCGTGAGATGCATTCACCGTCCAACCAATCTCCGCCTGTTTTTCCTTTGGGTATCTCCATGTCGCGTATCCAATGCTTGGTATCTGTCAGCCAAATAAAAGTATGCGTATAATTGTGTCGTTAAATATTCATGCCTGAAAGAAAAATATATATAAAAGAAAAATGACTGTGACTGGTTAATAGCTATCCGTCCCTCCAAGAAAAATGTAGACACAGCAGGCGCTGAATGGACAGTAGGAGTGTCGTGTTTGCCTTGTTTTAGTCCAAACGGCGTATAGGAGCGAGGAAGGCCGAAACCCAACCAAGGACATCTGAACATATTCCAGTCGGCTTGTACAAGATTGTTGTCACATACTAGATACTGTCAGTATAAATGTAGTAGGACAGAAAAGCAAGGCGCAGGAGCATGGGGGTTAAGAGATGGTCGTACTTTTCGCTTATATCTGGTTGTGACACTGGTCGCCAGGACTCCATTTTTGATGCTGCTAGTTGCCAGGTGGTTTAAAACCGTATGGTTGGGATAATTAAGCACACTGTTGTCATCCTTCATGGGAGTTGTACTGTTTAATATCGACCGAGCCAGGAACAGGGGTAACGTAGGCGGAGCTCGTGAATCTCGGATGACATTGGCAGCCTGGTGATATCCCTCGTCATCTTCGTTGCGGTCAATATCAACCAGAAATTGAGGAATGATATTACGGAAGTCTCCCATTGGGATCTCTTCCTCTGGTTCTTCCTTGTCTGATTCTTCCTGTGATTCCGTAGTGTCGATGGGTAAGGATTCCGGGAGGACTTTGGGAGGGAAGATCTCAGGGGGTATTATAACTTTTGGCGGCTTATCACTCTCTCTCCGGGGCCGCTCAATTTCATCTGCGCTTATTTCGATGTAGTTGACTAAGTGATTTGTGAAATCGACTGCTGTAGGCAATTGATCTGATGTCCGCATAGTGCCATCTACTATAAACTTTAGATGATGCGTGCCCGGGCGTAGCTGAAGGACCGTCGTGAACATTCCACTTTCGATATCACTATAGTCAATCAGTCAATAAAATGAAGCCAAACCTCCAGGTTTATTTTCTCATCTCAATCATTGTAGGCGAATGGTAAACAACCTTTTGTGTAATTTGAACTTCCTTGCCCAGTTCACGAATGTACCAGTCACATAAACTTTCTCGCCGCCGCCTCTCCAGTCGATGGTCGTAGGAACAGACTTGTTAAACCCCGTTGGGACAATGGAATCCAGTTCATCCTGGACAACGTCGTCTTCGTCAATTGCAGGATCCAACTCTGATTTCTCGGGCGACACCTCAGGATTTGCCTTGTCGAATGCCATTGCGGCACCTAGCGAGCCGCTTGTGATCGGGGAGCCGGGTGCTGTCATGGCATCTCCGATGGGTAGGGGTAATCGTGGAGGGCGGGTGAGATTGGAAGGGGTGGCATAGTAGATGTTGACCGGCCTGGGGGTCGAGAAGGCCTCGCCAGGAGCGGCAACATTATCAGAAACCGGCACGGCCTGCTGCGCATGAACAGCCTGCGAACCCCTGGAGTGAACTGGAAGATCGTACTGGTCGCCCTCGCGATGCTTTCGCGAGTTACGACGCTCCAGTCGCTCCCCGCCAAAGCTGCCAATAGGTGTGTCAACCGTCCGTGACTGGAGCCGCTGGTGAACGGGAGTCTGCTGTTTCAAAGCAGCATGGTGACCGGTAGCGCTCTCTCTCGAGTGTGACGGGTCTGCTGCCGGCGCCTTCGAGCTGGACAGCGCCTGTATCGAGGTCCTGCGGTTCACTTTCTTGTCCACGCCGGCCGTCGCGCCGGGGGCTTTTGAAGGGGCGTTCCCCATGGTTTCGCGCCTCAGTCGCTCATAAAACGGGGGCCTAAACAGCTCTGCCAGATCAGCTAGAGGGGACACAAGCTCAGTTCATTGCACCTCGAGCGTTGACAAAGGGAGTATGCGGCGTCTCCCGTCTCCCTTGCTTGCATCTATATCTTGCCATCGTCAAAAGTACGTAGAGCGAAGAGGCGCCTGGCGTCCCGTTTGGGCCTAAAGTGGCCGGGGTCATCGTTCTTCCGCTTCCGGCCCAACTTCAGCCTCGAGAAACCAAAAAGAGGCAACAAACTTGCAGACTCGCTGTCTATCTCTCTCTCTCTCGGATGGACGAAGCTCGTTTCATGCAGATAGGCGCTTCGTCTGTTAACGGGACTACCTCCTTAGCCGTCATTTGCCGTGGAATGGACTGACCTGGCGACCTGAGAAATGCACAACACCGTCGAATGTCTAGTGTAGCAGTGTTGATAATCAAAACACTCACGCGATCACTAAGGATACCCCTGGCTTTAGAGCCAGTTTGATACACCGGAAATAAAAAAGGAGCTGCCTACTGTCTCGGCCCTGTGTTCACTGTTCTCGATGTATGGGGGATGGCAGATGGCCGCCCATTTGGGTGCTGCTCTCTGTGCAATCTTGATCCTGGGGCTGCCTCTCTACCAGCTCGGCATGTCTGACCCACAGCAGGTCCAAAGTATGGGATGGGTGTCAATTCTGACATACTATGTCGTCTATCCAGCCGTATTTTTTTCGAAAATATTTATCTCTATCCTAAGGTTCCTGACAGCGCCGCTAGTGGAGCTCTCGACTCATATACTATACGTCTGTCTCCTACCGTGGCACATGTCTACCAAACTAGAGGTATGCACAGGAATGATCCATCTTGCATATGGCTTTTCGTTCAGTATTGTTTATATCCGACCCGATAATTGGCTGGGTTGCCTTCCTGGCCATCCGCAAGACGGGCTTTTTGCTAACACGCTATACATAGCCTCTATACAAGTTCTTCGGTATTGCGGCAGTAATTGGTATTGCTACTGGGTGGGCTCTATCTCTGTCTAGCTCCTATATCTCCCTCCTGCTCAACTTATCGTCCGGGACTGAAGCCGCTCCAAAGCGACTGTCAAAACATAGGCCAGGCTGGGAAGACGAGGCTCCTGTCAAGTCAGAATGGGCCACGCAGTTCGCCAACAACAGTGACAGCATAGACGATACAACGTGGAGATATAGCCAGCCCGAGCCGTCAGGTCTCAGATCTCGTTTAATCGCCTCTAGGACAACATCGTAGCCCAACTCAATTTTTGCCTTGGCACAGACGGAGCACGAAGATTGGACTGATAGAACAAGTCGAATAGTGTACTCCGTAGGCTGGTAGTACTTCCTTTTATCACTGTCTTCGTGGTATCTCTTTGAATTCCATGTGCTTAACTACAAAGTACGAGAGCTCGTTCGCTAAGCAGGGGCGAAAGCTCTGGCCTGAACTAGCTGTATGCTTTGCTTTAGCTAGTTAGCTAGCTAGGTACTTAGCTGCTGGAGAAAAGCGTCTCCAGCGAGAATGGGCCCATCTTGTTATCATAACTAGTTATCTATCGCCCCCTGCCGTCATCAACGGCCTCAATCACCTTGACGTCTCTTCTGCTTCTGTCTCATCCTATTCTCCCGCGCATCCCAAGCCCAGGATGCGCCTGTCTCACGGCTCGTATATAGACCGCCACGTGACCGTGTATCTCCCCAGGCGCATCTTCCTATTGCATTGTTTAGCTTGGCTTATTTCCTTAGCATTTTCATCTCAGCCGCTGGGTTGAACCAGAAGACAAGTCCAAGTAGGACGAAGAAGTTGACATCATCCCCGTCTCTCCTTTTCTCCTCCTTCGCGAGATGTGAATGGTATCCAGCTCTCTCGCTCGCTCATAATCACGACGTGGAAGGCGACGATCCTCTTTAGTAGTAAGCCTTTTTTTTCCTTGCTACCTAGCTATTCCCCTGACGGCTCATGGATTCTGTGTATCCACCATCAAATTAGCAGTTACTGACACTTAAAATCGGGTTTTAAGCAGAAAGTCCTCTTCCTGTCGTTACCCAAGGGGGAACAAAAAGGCGCCTTGTTAAGGTTATATCGACGATGTCCCTCCGTACGCGGCTCCGGTTAGCCGTGACCGTGGGGATAGTGCTGATAGTACTGCTCTACCTGTCAAACAATAGGTGGACCGTTCCTGCACTGGGTTACCACAAGTCTCCTGTTCATGCGCCGTCGAGGCCCGTCGACAATAGCCCAGAGCTTCACGCTTCTTTCTGGAGCGGATTCCAGCCCGTGCTAGATCGATATGCACCTACCTGTCCACCTCCGAAGAAAGAGGGAAGAGCCGACTCGAATGAAATCGGCTTTCATCCTGAAAAGAATGACCAGAAACGACCAGACCATATTAGGATGCCCGAGGGTGACGTTGAATTGATGAAGAAACTACATACCGATTTCGTTGTCGAGGTCAGCAGTGGTCGTCACCGACCCTACTACGCCCCAGGCACCCGTGGCCTGGTATCTACAGCAGGTGGTAAATATCTCCCTGTGCTGACGGTTTCCCTCCGCATGCTTCGAAATAGAGGCTGTTCCTTACCGATGGAAGTCTTCCTGGCCACAAACGCCGAGTTCGAGCCATATATCTGCAACCAGGTCTTTCCTGCATTGCAGGCTAAGTGTGTCGTCCTCGAGAACATGGTTAAAACCTCTCCGAAGAATATCTCGATCTCCAACTACCAGTACAAAGTATTTGCGATGCTCTTTTCATCATTCGAGGAACTCCTCTTCCTTGATGCGGATGCATTCCCTCTGCATGACCCCAATGAACTATTCCACAAGGAACCGTTCTCTTCCGGAAAGATGGTCCTTTTCCCCGACTTCTGGGCCTCGAGCGCAGCACACCAATACTACTCCATTGCTTCATTACCAGTCCCCAACATGAACAAGCGGGCTTCTACTGAATCCGGGGAAATAATGCTCTCAAAGAAGCATCATGCAAAGACATTGTTGCTTTCCACTTATTACAATCTTTATGGACCCCAATACTTTTACCCGCTCCTCTCCCAGGGTGCCGCAGGAGAAGGAGATAAGGAAACCTTCCTTGCTGCAGCTACAGTTGTTGAAGATGATTTCTACCAAGTTAGCGAGCGACTACGTGCTATTGGGCACCGCTCACCAACCGGGTTGGCCGGCTCAGCCATGCTGCAATTTGATCCAACGGAAGACTATGCCCTGACCCAAAAGGGACTCTGGCGTGTCATCAACGAGACTGTTGCTCCACCCCCCCGTGCCTTCTTTGTTCATGTCAATGTTCCAAAGTTCAACCCTGCTACAATCTTTGGAAAGCACCCAATCGACCCCGTCCGAGACCACACGGGCAAGTTCATCCGACCTTGGACCGTGCCAGAGGAATCTATAAAGCTAATGGGCGATGGCATTGAGAAACAATTTTGGGGAGAGATGAAGTGGGTCGCCTGCGAACTGGAGAAAAAATTCAAATCCTGGGAGAAGCTTGAAGGAGTCTGCGATAACTTGAAGAAATATTGGAACGAAGTATTTGAGAAGCCGCAGCCGCCTAAGTAATAGGCGAGACGTGATTTCAACACTCTTCCGGTCGTTTCTCTTTCTTTATTTTTCCTTTTTTTTTTTTTTTTTTTTTTTTTTAATTCCCCTTGGTGTATTTGTCTTTTCCAAAATCCAAGCCAGCCAGCTTTGAATTTGTCTAGAAGTGATTCGACGATACGACTGATACCTGTATGTTTTGGGATGTGATCAATGACCTTTCTCTGTATATAACTTTTTCTTAGCTGGAGTTGGGGGAAATCAGGCTGCCTGTTGTCCCTTTTCTGTTATAACCACTTCAAACTTATGAATTATCCCAATTCTATCATTTCTATCCTACAAAGCCTATTTGTTTACCTGTATAGTACAATCGTTTAAGTTAGAGATATATTATCATCTCTCCCTTTATATTTCTCGTCCACAAATTCTACCTTCTCCAACATCTCTTCGAACATATCTCGACACCTTACCCTACTACCAAGCCGAGCACAGAGTAAAAAGGCGCCACTCAACTTCCGATGCAAGCTGTAAGTTTCTTCAGGGGGAGGAGATAAGCGCTCGCGTAACATGAGCGGGATAAACTCTCGAACTCTGTCCGTGATGGTTTGGTCCCTGAAATCATACACCTCGGGAGACGATTTCATAAATGGCTCAGCGATCGTTGTGATAGATGATACATGAGCGTTCACCATTGCCTCTGACTCGAAGCCAGTGAGATAGCCTAGTTCCTGGGAAAGCTCACGGCATTTTTCACGTTCGTTCCGGGATGCAGCGGCAAGTAGGCTAACGTACAAGGATATGAAGGCTGCAGGATAAGCGCGGGATGCTCCGAAATCAAGGAGTTCAAGGCGATTGGTAGCGGAGTTGTAGAGGAAGTTGGTCCAGTTCGGGTCGGTCTGCATATATCTGAATTCGCCAATTTCTCGAAGGCAGAGTCGCATAATTTGAGAGCCTATCCAGTCGCGCTGAGACTGACTGAATGACTGGACCCGGGTTACTGCAATTCCATCCAAGCGTTCCATGGTGAGGACCTGCTTCCCAGAGGCGTATGGTATAATTTCGGGTATGGTAAAAACATCAGTATCGTCCTTCAGCAGCTCTTTAAATTTACGGCCACATTCAGCTTCGCGGATATAGTCACATTCCCATGCAAGCTCGGTCCGGGCGTTTGCAATCGTTTTATCAAGATATAGTCCTTTGGGAAGTAGTCGAGATGCAGTTAGAAGTATAGACAAATTGTTCAGGTCCGAATCTATCGAGTCTGCAACGCCAGGGTATTGAACCTTCACAGCAACACGCTGCCCTGTTTCCTTTAGAACAGCTCCGTGAACTTGTCCGATCGATGCGGCAGCCATAGGGACCTCGTCAAAGGACTCGAATAAATCTCGCCAATTAGGGCCTAAATTATCCTTGAGGACCTGATCCCTTTGAAACTGTGGCATGTAGTTTGCTCTGTCCTGTACACGTTGAAGCACGAGTTGAATCGCCTCGGGCATCACTTTGGAATCTATACGCACAGTCAGCACTGCTCCAGCTATAAAATCCGCTAACGGAATGTTTGTTTACCTTGGAGACTTAACATCTGGCCTAGCTTTAGAGCGGCACCTCTCATCTTAGACAGTTTAGCCACTAGCCTTTCGATATTGGCAGGGCTAAGCAGCAAGGACCCAGAGTCATCGCCTCCTGTTGCACGGCGGAAACCTGCCCCGACAACACCCATTGCCATTGAGGTCGCCAGCCCACCATATTCCCATAATCGCCCAATTCGAGAAGATGGAACTCGAGATTGCACCATCTGATATGAATCTTGAGGTGCGACAACATTGGTATGCTTGACATGGCTCTGGCTTTCTGCATTTTCTGCGCTATCCGATTTTACGTCTTCAGCCTGAGTCCTAGTTTCTAGGGCTATTTCAGGACGAATAGCTTGCGGTTTTGACACCGGGATGGTATCATATTTAGAATTAATTTCCCCATTCTTACGAGTTTGATTTTGGAAAAGAGATCTTGTCACTTTTCGACTCCTGAAAAGCTGTTGCATCATCTCGTCAGGCACTCCATTTTCTTCATTGGCTGTAGGTTTTTCTTTCTTTTCCGAGTCCAGAGTCTCATTTGGTGCAGGCGCAAAGCCTTTCTCCGAATCAACACTCGGCACTTCCGTAGATTCTATTTTAGCACCATCCCTCCTGGTATTATCATCCACTTTCGTGCTCTCGGATTTGGATATCCCCCTACTTCCTTCATTGTCGTGGTCTGCCGGTGTAAAGCCGGGTGTAGGACCATCATCAAGCTTCCTTGCTAGGTCAGAAGCGGCTTGTACCGCAAGGCTAATCCGCTCGATTTGGTTTTTCGCTTCTTTAGTTAACGACGATGTTCTCGCATGGCGGTCGAGGGCATGCCTCTGTAGCACTATGTGCTTTTTCGCAACGCCGCGGGACGCATTGAGGAATGAGATGGCGTCGAGGAGACGGCGTCCGGACATAGCAGAGACAGAAATTATAGGTATATCACTCTCATTCGCATCTTAAGCCAGTAATAAAGTGGAAGACGTTTCTGTCGGCTTTTTGAAAATGTTGAAGCTTGCAAGTTCCTTGCGTCTCATTGGCCAAGGCGGTGAGCTTCCGTCCCTTTTCTGCCAGGAACATCTTGATAAGAATCGGCGATAAGAAACATCTCCTCCTTCTCGTTCTATCGGCCACGCAGATGGCAAAGAGCACCATCCAGCCCCTTTATGATTTTCCTTGATCAAGCTGCATCGGTGACACCATAATGACAGTTAAGGAAATCAAGGACAGCCGTCAAGAGGCCTCCAAGGGACCACGACCCTCCTTCAGCGCATCGATCCCGAACATGACGACGAGACGGAAGACAACGGGCAGTGCCGCCGTGAATAAAACCAAAGGTATGCCCATCATCCGCATGGTCAACTGGCCAGTTGAGGCATGGAATCTTCTGGCTAACCGTTATATAGTCCCCAGCTTCGAATCCGTCCCGATCTCTCACTCTCTCCTACTCCTGTCAGATTCTGCGCTTCCTCTTGGCTCGTTTGCCTACTCCAGCGGTTTGGAATCATATATCGCTCACAACAAGCCTCTACCATCACATATAACCCCGACCACATCATTTAATCAGTTTCTTTCGCTCTCTCTTGCGTCCATTGCAAGTACTACGATACCCTATCTCCACAGAGCCCATAGACACCCCGAGGAGTTGGAAAGATTGGACAATGATCTCGATGCATCGACGCCATGTACTGTCGCAAGAAGAGCGAGTGTTGCTCAAGGACTTGCCCTGTTACAAGTATGGGAGCGTGCACTGAAACCATCAGCCATACAGCGAATTCAGGAGAGCCAGCACGATAGCCACCATCACATAGTACAGGCAGTGGAGGTATTGGACCAGTTCTCAGAATCATTGAAATGTGTGGGTGTAGACGAAGAGCATGATGAAGTCAACGGCGCTGTTAACGGCCATTTTGCTCCGTTATGGGCAGTGGTATGTCTGGCACTAGACATTGACCTGGAGCAAGCGGCGTACGTGTTTATGCTTAACCATGCCAAGGCGGTTCTCAGCGCAGCTGTGAGAGCATCTGTCATGGGTCCTTATCAATCTCAAGGTGTGCTTGCGGGCAACGCACTTCAAAAGACCATTGCTGAGCTGCTACAGAAGGAATGGTGGACAGAGCCCGAAGATGCAGGACAGGTTGTCCCTGTTATGGATCTCTGGATGGGAAGACATGAGTTGCTATATAGTAGGATTTTCAACTCTTGATCGATGTATATATATTTGCAACTTATTTGTATACATTAACGAATTGATGCTGAGCAGGAGCGTACGTGTTAAAACTACTTCTCGTTTTGTCCGTAATTTGGAGCATCGAGGTGACAACTCGGTGCCTTCAAAATCAGTACATCATTGTACATCATACATGTAAACGTAGCATGAACGCAAAAGCAAACGGCCTGCTGCCCAGCAGACCCCAAGGGCCAAAAAATCAAACACCCCGATGAGTTTAACGGAAGAGAAAAACGTGTGGAAAGACTCCACGACCACGTCCGACCAAACCAGATCGACGAACAAAAAGAAGGGGGGAAACATTAAGAGGCAAATAGTCTTCCCTTTAAGCGCCGAGTAGCTCCCCAGGTACCTCTCACAAGCAACAAAATGCCTTTCTTTTAATACCAAAAAAGAATGCCAGGGGTAAAGGAGAAAGGAAATAACATGAGGCTGTTAGTGGCCACAAAAAAGGGGTTAAAAATATGACATACTATACAGGAATCAGAAAGGTAATAACGAACGATATTAAAGGGTAATATGCATGTGGTCATTGCTTCCAAAAGATTTGTTGCAATTCGGACACTTGCGAGACCTGGAAGTCAATCGTTCTTCAACGCATTCTTTGCAGAAGACGTGGCCACAGGTCTTGATGACAGTATTTTTGAAATTTCGCCGGCAGACAGTGCAAAGGGCAAGAGTCTAAAAACATCTCTGTGGTTAGTATATATGACTTAAATTCCCCAGGGCAGAGTGGCTTACTCTTAGCATCTCATATTCGGATGTGTTATTACCCAAGCCACGACTCTTCCAGGACTCCAAACTCTTCTTGGTATCCGAAAGAGTGACCTTGAGACCTTCGACCTCACTTTCCGCCTTTCGGCAGTTATTCGTGGCTGTTGTGAGTGTTGCATCTTTTGTCGCTAGTTGGCCCTTTAGTTCAGCCACTTGTGATTTCAAGCCTTGGATGACAATGGTTGCTTCGTTAACTTGGTGCTGAGATGTTCGATATTGATTCGTCAGAGTGGTCAACGCTTCCTTCGTTTCGCTTAGTTGCTTTTCAACGTTTGAAACAAGGGATCTCGTAGCCGACTCAGCTTCCTTAAGCTGTGAAATTATATCGGAGCTCTTCATGTTCTGTAACCGAAGAGATCTAAGTTCTGCATCTCGGGCTTCTTTGCTCTGCATTGCCGCAAAATATTTCTGGTCGGCCTTGGACTTCTCGGCCATCAAACGTTGCGCTCTTTCTTCAGCAGCAGCTGTATCAGCAATCTTTTGGGAGGCTAACTTGGAGGATTTTCGGAAAGCCGTCTGCATGGATGATAGTTCCGTATTGAGCATCTCATACTGCTTTTCAAGGGTATCAAATTTAGTCCGCAACTGCTCATGGGACAGTTCGCTTATAGTTGGCTGGGAATTCTTCACTCCATCAATTTGCAGTTGCACTCTTTGTACTTCCTGCTCCAAAGACGTAATTCTACATTCTTTGGCGTCTACCAGCTCTTTCAATTGAGCGATCGAGTTCTTTTCCTGGTCTTCAGCTGCCTTCCGCATCTGCTGATCTGCCAATAGCTCGTCTCGGGCATTTCGAATTCGAACAAGGTTGGACTCTGTTTTCGCTAGTTGGGCCTCCTTTTCCCCAATCGTGTTTTGAGCCTCGTTTTCTATTTGCACTCGATATGCAGTCCGTTCAGCTTGTAGCTTCTCAGCCTCTTCACGTAATTGAATGTTGGTCGCTTCTAGATGATTGATCCGCTGGATAACATCTTCATGCTGAGATTTCAATTGTTTAAACAGGTCACAGTGAGCATAGTCCTCATCAGAAAGTTTGGAAAGCTAATATCGTCAGCAAGCGAGGCCAATTGTTGAAACTTAAGGTAGAGATGAGCATACCTTAACATGGAGTTCGGTTATTTGAGTCAACAGTTTGGAATTATCTGCTTCGAGCTTTTCTAGTTGCTCCTTTTGCTTGCTGGATACCGCAAGCGTGGTATTGTACAGCGTTTCCATCTCAGTGGCCTTTTCAGGGTTCTCGGCTGTTCCATTGGTAGATGGCCCCTCCTCTCGTTTTGTGGAGGTATCGCCTGACTTATGGGGACCGAGAATGTGCTGCTTTTCCAGCCTGGCAACAGTAAGGCTTTTGGCTCGATCTATTTTCTTCTCAGCTACCATATATCTCAATGATGCTGCCTCCAGCCGCTCTTCGAGTTGTTGTTTTTCCGCAATTGCCTTTTCTATGGCCACATTGACAGCCTTTTCGTCCGCGAGTTTCTTTGCAAGTTGGGATTGCAAGCTGGTAATATCTGGAGTAGCCTTGGCCGCGTTAGACAAAAGTCGAGATATCGAGCCCTTGATTTCATTTGCTCGGTCTTGTAGGTGTTTTTCAAATGATTCATGCCCACTGAAAAGCAACGAGGTCTGGTATGTGGGGCTCTCTGGAAGAACGTGTTAGTCGAGAGATTCCCCCAAGAGATGTGACATTGCGAAAGTACCTTCTGAGGGCCCGTCTACCGAAGAGGATAGCACTTTGACTTCGTCAATTAACTATTTTTTTAAAAACACACTTAGCCGCCTGCACACACATCAACACTTGGATAGGTGGGTAGGTAAATACCTGCTTGAGCCATGCATCGAGAACACTGACATGTTCTTCATTGTACGCCATCTTCTTGGATAGATCCTTTATCCGAGATTCAAGCGTAGTTTTCTCGCGTTTATATTCCTGCATCTGTCTCCAGATTGCATCCTTCTGATATCGCTATGTAAAGAGTGAATACGTCAGCACCTTCTGGGCGAAAAGAAAAAAAGCGAATGTACGCTACACGTAAAAGGAGGGACACAGTCATATCCATGGCCATCGCATCAAGGTAGCCAAAGAGGGCCTTTCTCACCTCGAGATCATCGCGCCATGGCATATCGGTGTCGGGGTGCGCCTTTACTCCTCCGTTAACAGTAGTGGCTTGTTTCTTCAACGGGGGAGCCGAATCACCAGGATCCTGCGTAGCAAGTCGCTTGCGGTCCTCCATTTTAACAACCAGGCCGGACTTGGGTAGGGACACCGTAGGGGATTCGAGTGCCGTCATGGGGTTGGACGGGGGCTGGGAAATGTGTGGCCACCGACAAAACAGCGAGAAGAGCAAGGAGCGTGAGCCAGCAAAACAATCCAGCAGAATTCTACCGATAGAAGCGACAGGATGACGAGAAAACGGCTTCACTGGATACCACGAGTCTGGCTAAAAGGGCTGCTGGTCGCTATGGACAATGCAAAGAGACGACCGGGACAGCGTCTGCGAGGTTGAAATATCCAAGTCAAGCAGAGAAAGGAGGATTTTCCCCGTCCCAGGCTAGTGCTCGTCTTGGCAAGATGTCACGTGACGACTTCGAGGTTCCAAGGGAGAAAAAGAAAAAGACAATGACGAAGACGAAGAGAGAGAGACAGAAAAAGATGGAAGAGAACGGCGACGATCAAAACGACCTCGAGATGCAGCTGGCCTCGTAGAAGGAGCGATAGTTAAAAAGAAAAGAAAAGAAATAAGCAACGAGCGATTGAGTAAGAGTGATCAAGGTATGGCTGGTGTAATGCCTTTGCTGTCAGACAGACCGCAAAACTCCATCCTCCTTTGTGTTCTTCTGGCGGTACATCAGGAGCAGCCGCTGTAAAACGTCTAGACGGCTGAGAGTCCTGAAAATCGCCCCTCAGCGAGCATGGCCATGGAGGGGTTTTGCATGAGACCAGGAACCTCTTTCGCGCTTTTTACTAGCTACTTCGTTATTTGTTTTCTGTGGAGTCGCAAGGGAGGAAAAATGAGGTGGAAAAAGCAAACATATTGGCATTTCGCCCAAGAGATAAAAGCTTATCGCATGATTAGATAAGCTCCGGCGGTTCACTAAATTTATTCTGACAGCTCAACCCACCAGTCGACAATCCCTTTGCGACTCATACATCAGCAGGGAGCAGAAACCATCGCTGCCACAAATCTTTTATTTTATTGACCAAGGGAAGACAAAAGCGATGGCACAACCACCAACTGCCACCGCCGACACCGCCACGGCACCTCCGAAGATGACGAAGCGCAAACGGGCAGTTGAAGATGTGGCTGCTGAGGTGGTGGCAGATGCGGTGCGCGAGAAGAAGCCGCGAACATCGAGGAAGAGAGCAGTCACACCAGAAAACTCGGAGTCGATAGAGATAGTTTCAGCGGTGGTGACGATGTCCGACCTCTGTCGTGACTTGCGCACCGGCAAAACCTCCAAGCGTGAAATGGAGCTGAGAACAATGGATTGGGCTGAGATTGCGAGAAAGAAGAAAGAGAGAGAGGAAAGAAAGAAAGGCGGTAGCAGGAGCCAGTCCGCCAAGGGGGATGCCACAGATACCCCGAAACCCGCCGAGAAAAAGATGCGCCCGTCGGCCGAAGTTGCTGCTGGCCCACAGATGAGAATCGTCAACGGAGAGATTGTTCTGGATACGTCCTCGCTACAGATCGATCGCCATGCAGACGCAGATAGGAATGCAGACGACATGGAGGAAGTCGAGGAGAACCCGCTCACTCGGCGCATAAACGCTGCCTCGTTTGGGAAACGGACCAAGCTCGAGACCTGGGACGAGGAAACAACGGATTTATTCTATAAGGGGCTGCGGATGTTTGGCACAGATTTTATGATGATTAGCAAGATGTTTCCGGGCCGGACGAGGCGGCATATCAAGTTGAAATTCTCCAACGAAGAGCGGCGCGAACCAGAACGGATTAAGCGGACATTGCTTGGGCCTAGAGAGCCAGTTGATTTAGATGCCTATTCGGAGATGACGAATACAGTCTATGACGATCCTAGAGCTATACAAAGAGAACTGGATGAAGAGAAAAAGAGGATTGAGAATGAACATGCGGAAGAACAGATGGCGCGTGAAGAACAGCTTCGACACCCTGGTGGGAAATCTGGTGACAAAGTATTACCCAGCATCGAGGGTGAATCTAATGAAGCTCGACGACGACGGGAAAAGAAGAAGGCTGAAAAGGCCAAATTCGGAGGAGGAACAGAGGAGATTCTCGGCTCCATCGATGATTAAGTTGGCCTTGAATTTTTGTTGTAATATTTTACCATTTTGACTTATACTGTAGATATTACGAAGGGTGTGGTCCACACCTTCTTTTAGTAAATATTATTGTTTTGTCTTAAAAAAAAGTTATTTATACAGTACCAAGAGCCAAGTTTGCTTCCCATTATATTCTACATTTCATACTCCGTAAAAGAATTCGTTTCATCCTGCTGAAATCAGCGTCGCCTTGTACCACCAAACCCAGTGCTTTCTCTTGTCGACGAGGAAAAAGAAGGTCCTGGTGCAGCATTATTGCTGCCAGATCTAAAGCTATTATCTCCTCCTCTTCGTGAGCCTCTCCCCATAGCATATCCTGCAGCAGTACCACCCAAAGCACCGGTCCAGAAACCAGGTCTCCATGATTGCCAGTCGTCCTTCGCACATCTGGGCTGCTGATAGTCGTATGGAGGCGGGGGCCCTGGAGGCCACCAACCGCCGCCCCAGCCTCCTCCACCACCTCCTCCTGCACCATTCCTTCCCCGTCCTTGGCTCTGTGCACCGGTGCAGTATTGAAGGAGTTTAACCACGACCATGAATAGGCCAAAAAAAGTAGCCATCCGGATAAGGGTAGACCATATCGATTCACCATAGCCGTCTCTATCATGGGGTATATGGCCGTACCGCTTTTCCCCCATACTAGTAAGTAAGAGCCTGTACTCCACGCCACAACTCCCCTTTAGAATCCATGGGTCGTTGGAGTTTCGATAGCCTTCACAAACTACATCTGTACCTCCGAGCTTGAATTCCGGAGGGAGTTGCGCCGTACAGGTCCATTGCACGTCATTTTCATCATAGTCGTATCCTGCATTGGTACATCGGATGACATCTGGCTTGTAGAGGGAGCATATCTCTTTGGATGGCCCAACACAGTTGAGCTGGGGTATTGCGGAGACGCGACGGTGAGTAGTTTTGCGATTCGCATGGAAAGTGAGGGTTTGGACGTCTGATAGAAGGACCGCGTTCTTTGAAGGAGACTTGTTATTTCCCCATGACGCTACAGGTTGAAGAAGGGCTGGTAGTGCAAGTAGCCAAGTCAATGCGGCAAACATTGTCATTCAGACAGCTTAGCTTGTGAGACAAAGGGCAAGTCTGCGAGTGGCTTCTTTCGCATTTGGGTAACCTATTTGTAGCTCAACAACGGGGCTCCATATCACCTGCTCTGGCTGGCTATTTATATTGCATTTGTTTATTGTCAAGGACAAGTGGCCTTCTCTGCAGGCAGAAACATAAATAACGTTGCATGACGAAGAGCCTTGGAACAGACACCACATGCCAAGAGATAAGATCGATCTGATAAGAGCACAGACCACCTATAACTTTCAACTTCCACAGAAACGCTGTCACCCACAATTGAACGACATAGCGAGCAACAACAGCGCCCAAACACTCTGCTTCCCGCCAGACGGAAGAAAATGGGCGAGGCAAGGTGGAATACGTAGTTACAATGTCCAGTCCTGAAAGTAAGTCGGCCCTAAAATACGCTAGCGTCAATCCATCTCACGGACTAATCGCCCTTACTTTTGCTTTCAGATGCCTCCTGCCCAACTCCGCAGCATTCGTGAGTTCGCCCACTTGTTGTCATCAACTTCATACGCTAAAATTCTTGGGTAGGCTGTCATTTACGCAAGGTCTACTGCTCGGTCAACTTTCTGTTGTCCTCCTAATAGGCGCGTTTATCAAATTCTTCATATTCGGAGAAGCCCCTTCTTCATCCTCGAGAGGTATATCACAGCGAGCAGCACCTCGCAAACGGTCATATTCTGTCAACAGTACACTCTTTAGAGATGCAGCTTCAAGATCGCTGAAAGAGTCGGCCTCGTCCAACGTCTTGCGCCCCGTTCCCTCCTCGTCCACAAACACAAAGTCCATCCTCCGAAAAACCTACTACAATGCGATCCCTACTAACTTCCAGAAAAATGGTCGGAACCGTCTCCACCATTCTACCCATCAACCGGAATCATTAGATTGGTTTAATGTTTTGATTGCTCAATTGATTGCGCAGTACCGGCAGACTGCATACTTACTCAAAGACTCGCCCACATCATCCATTCTCGACTCTCTTACGGAGACACTGAACAACGTGGAAAAGAAACCATCATGGATTGACAGAATCAACGTTACAGATATCTCAATTGGTGAAGAATTTCCTATATTCAGTAACTGCCGTGTTATTGCCGTCGACGATCCAAATTCGGATGGAGGAAGACTGCAAGCATTAATGGATGTCGATTTAAGCGATGACAACTTATCACTCGCTATCGAAACCAACTTGCTACTAAACTACCCAAAACCAGCTTCCGCTGTACTACCAGTTGCTTTGTCAGTATCTGTTGTACGATTCTCCGGAACTTTGTGCATATCCTTTGTTCCCAGCCCTGGCACAACGTCGGAAAGCAGCCCTAACCCGCAACCTCATTCAGAGGGCCAAAACGAATCTCGACCTGGCCAAGAGGTCCCCGGAAGACCTAGTAGCAAAGACGGAGTCAGGTCGGGAATACCAAAAACAAGCCTTGCATTTTCGTTCCTACCCGACTACCGCCTAGACATCTCAGTTAGATCACTCATTGGATCACGCAGCAGACTTCAGGATGTTCCCAAAGTTGCGCAACTCGTTGAAGCACGGGTTCAATCGTGGTTTGAGGATCGTGTTGTAGAACCTCGAGTGCAACTAGTTGCCTTACCAGGTATATGGCCACGGATGGGACGTACTGGTGTTCGAGCGCAAGAAGATCACGATACGGTCTCAATTGACTCAGATGACCCCGAAATCAAAGCTACACATAGTGGGTTTACCACCATTAACCCGAATCGTGACGGAGTACAGACTTCAAGGGACCTAAACATGGATGGACTAAGATATCGACGAGGTAACGGAGGGGATCAGCCTACGCCTGAAAACTACGACCACCTACCCCAAGGCACTGCTCACCCGAGGCCAACCCCTGGGGAGCAGTTTAGATTACCAGGGTCATTACCGGGTGCACCTGCTATAGCGTAAATTGTTTCGATACGCTTCTTGGAAACGGCCAGTATAGAATGCAGTTTCTATTTCAAGTACATATTATTTATTATACGACGATGTACCCTCTTTTCCGCTGCGAATTCAACCCGAGTACCAGTATTAAATCAAAATAGCGTTATCTATGATTCCGCATAAGCAGCAACATAGCTCTGTCTGAACGAATTGTGTTCAAGCGCGGGTTCACGGTTCAAAGGAGTCCATTTCGGTTCATCTTGGAACAACCTCATCGCTTTGATATACTATGAACAGCATCACCAGGTTACTACTGTGGAATGTCATACATATTCAAGGGCTATATAACTTACGTTGCTCTCCCCTGTCGTGAAGCGATGGTATATGCCGGCAGGCAAGATAAGTAGATCGTCCTTCTCGACCTGGATGCGAATCCACTTATCACCCTTGCTGCGGACATCGAAATATCCTTCACCATCCAGTATATACCTAATCTCTTCATCTTCATGAAGATGCTCGTCAAAGAATGACTTCACCTTTTCCTCGTAGACTGCGCCCATCTTCTCGGGAGAGACAGTTATCTCGTCGCGATTCTTATAACCCCGCTTCAAAGCCATGGCATCAACTTCATCAACTGAAGCGCATTTCTGGTATAAAACGCCTATGCTAGCGAGGTGGTCTGTTTCAATAGCACGGCCCGAGTCGTGAGGCGCACGCTGATCGCCCTGTTGTAAAATGGGCGGTGAGCTATGTCTGATGTCTACCTCGAACGCTGGCGGGGTGATCGAGTAGCAGGCGGGTAGTTAAAGCTATGCATACCTCAGCGTCATCGAACCAATATGCTCTCATTCTGAATATAGCTAGTAAGGTTAGAGATGACAACGGTATAAATCTATAGGACTGTTTGATAGAATCGTAAAGGTGATATGGAGATAGCTCTATCTACTTCCTTTAGCTCTCCTCTTTTATGCGTTTCCAACTAAGCAGTGATTGTAGTAAAAAAAATGGTTAACTATGATTGGATCCTATTAAGCTTTCTCCGTTGCGGGCTTGGCATTTCTAATTCTTTTTATTTCGAGCAAAATTTATATCAATGATGATGCAGATAAGTGATTGTTCAATAATCATTATCGACTGAGCGAGAGCCCAGTACACAGGCTGTTAGCTACGAGCTATGATGATCAGAGCGCGGGCGCCTCGGGCCTTTTCACGCCTATATACAATATCTCGCACCTATAAACCTCCCCGACGGAGTTTCGCGACAGTAGGAGAGAGCACTCGGTTTGTACATCCATCTCCTGTACAATACAAAAGTACTAATATATCTCTTTTCCTAAAGGCCGTATGATGTGATAGTTATTGGAGGTGGACATGCCGGGTCAGAAGCATGCGCTGCTGCAGCTCGGTCCGGCGCAAGAACCGCTCTAATAACACCCTCCCGATCAGACATTGGAGTGTGCTCATGCAACCCAAGTTTTGGTGGGATAGGAAAGGGAACGATGATCCGAGAAATCGATGCGCTTGACGGAGTAGCTGGAAGGACGGTAGACAAGGCAGGAATTCAATTCCGAATACTTAACAGATCCAAAGGCCCGGCTGTATGGGGTCCACGGGCACAAATCGATCGCGCACTCTACAGGAAATACATGCTCGAGGAATTAACTAACACCCCCGGGCTTAGCATTGTGGAAGGGAAAGTTGCGGATATTGTTGTCTCAAAGGAAAACGTGGCAAACTTGAACGGGTCCCAGGGAGAGATCGTGGGTGTCAGATTAGAATCCGGAGAGGTTATACCTACTGGAAAAGTGATAATCACGACGGGGACCTTTCTTGGGGGAGAGATACATATCGGTTTGGATGCCTTCCCTTCAGGCCGTATGGGTGAAGCAGCCACTTTTGGCTTGAGCAAGTCTCTACGCGAGGCTGGATTTCAACTCGGGCGTCTCAAGACAGGTACACCTCCAAGGTTAGACCGCAAGACCATTGATTTCAGTACTCTTGAAATCCAACCAGGCGATTCTCCTCCCAGCCCCTTTTCTTACCTCAACGACTCTGTGCAGATTGGGGATAAGGGTCAGTTGAATTGCTGGTCAGCTTACACCAATGAAGCATCGCACGCAGTTGTCCGCGAGAATCTGGACAAGTCTATTCACATCCGCGAAACTGTCAACGGCCCACGCTATTGTCCTTCGCTGGAGTCAAAAATCATTAAGTTCAAGGACAAGCCGAGACATATGATCTGGTTAGAACCGGAAGGCCTTGCACCAAACGATGTGATTTATCCGGTCCTAACTTTGGTATTATCACCTCTGTGGTAATGAAAGCATACCCCGTGGAACCCACTGGTCTATATGCCTGGTTGGGTGCACCAGGCTATGGTGTGGAGTATGATTACGTTGATCCTCGATCATTACGCCCTACTCTCGAAACCAAACTTATCAGCGGGCTGTATCTCGCTGGCCAGATAAATGGCACAACTGGTTATGAAGAAGCTGCTGCACAAGGCATCCTTGCAGGAATAAACGCAGGCCTAGCCTCCCAATCGAAGCCACCAATGACTCTCTCCCGTGCAGATGGATTCATTGGCATTATGATAGACGACCTCATTACCAAAGGGGTTTCTGAACCATACCGAATGTTCACCACTCGAAGTGAATATCGCATTTCGACGCGCTCGGACAACGCAGATATGCGCCTGACAGCGAAAGGACGGGCTGCCGGTGTCGTATCTGATAAGCGCTGGCGTCAATTCGGTGAGGTTAGAGAGCAGATGTCTTACCTACAGGCACTCCTCGAAAACACCCGGCACCCATCTACTGTCTGGGCACGTAAAGGGTTCCCTGTCCGCACAGATTCCTCCGTCAGGTCTGCCTTTGAGCTGCTATCACATAATGGAGTTTCACTTGACGATATTATCCCACATATTGACTCTACGCCCGGTTCCCCTCACTCCCTTTCCTCATTCTCGCCTCAAATTAAATCCCGAATGGCCATTGAAGGCCGATATGCTCCATATACCAAACGGCAGGAAGCAAGCGCACTACTGTTTGAACGGGATGAAGGCATGCTCCTCCCACCAGACATTGATTATAGCACCATGCTCGGCTTGAGCACAGAGGAACGCCAGGTTTTGGAGAAAGTACGACCGGTGAGTATAGGTATGGCTCGCCGTGTTGAAGGTGTGACTCCTGTGGGCGCTCTGAAGCTACTCATGCATGTTCGCAAGTTGAGGTTACTAAATCTTGGGAAGGATGAAGCCGCTCGCAGTATAGCTGACCAGGAGACAGGCACAACTGCTGTCCCCTCACCGTGATTGTACTATTGTTTTTATATACCCATGGACACATGCCCCCTTTCTAACGTGTCGCTCTATTCTATATTGTATTATATCTCTTTCCCTGTGTCTTTTGGGGTGCATATTTTGGCGGTTATTCGGTACATAGCGTTCTCGTTGTACGATATAGACATGAGGTTCAATATTTAATGACACTTCTTGGAACCTTTTTTTACTTACATCGTGTCGACAACTGCCGTATCTAATGATTTCTATGAAGTCCACCGTTTCTCTATAGTGGCGGCCGGTTGTCTAGAGTTTACTGCCCATTCCAGATGTAAGTTCTAGCTGTGATGTCCTTTGACGTCTGTCCCGTCCAGCCAACAACCAAATCCTCATCAACGTCTCGAAGAATGACGTGAATATGCTCAATGCTCGCAACGGTCTGCCACTTCTTCTTGTTCTTAAACCACATCACTTTCTCTTCCTTAATTTTATCCAGACAATTCCCGTTTACCTCTCTATGTCTTTCCATAATCTTCTGAGTGAACGTCTTGTCAACAAACTGCTCAATAAGCTTGCGCGACTCTTCGGTTGGACCACCCTGGCCATCCTCTTCAACTGGGATACGGGTCTTCAACCAGACAACTAGGTGCACAATATTATGATCAAGTCCGTATGGCCAGTCGTTGCGGAGGATTTTGTAATCGGCTGGGTGAGCAAAAGGAGTTTCATTCTGATATTCAAAGCCCAGGCCAGTGGACGTCTGGGTATTATTGGAGCCTTCTATGCGTTCAACCTGGCCCTTCTTTTGCCAGAGAAGGCGTTCCCGCAGTAAGAATTCTATGACCGAGTCGTTTTTGCTCTTCGTCTCTCTAACCCAGAGAATGTAGTTTCTGAGGTCTGACGGTGCCCTGTTCAAGACGGACATGTCTCCCTTAGCTTCAGCATGTCTCCGTGTCAGCGGCTTAATATTCTATATAAGATCCTACTCAAATGAAAGAGGCAGTAGTAATAGGGCTGAGCTACCTATTACATCTTTTATTTCTTGCCAGGTATGAGGTTTATATTCATCATCCTTCTGACCTAGCGATTTCACGTCCCCCGCTGTCAATGGGAACGGCGAGAGATCGATGTATCTTTGCACACTCAGCATGTTGACGTAATAGAGCAGCAGCTGGTAGCAAAAAGAGTGAGATAAGATTAATTCTGTCTGTTTTTGGGGTCACCCTTCTACTGTTCGTAGATATCAACTAGCATGAGCAATCCGCCGCTCTATATGTTTGGTGCAATGCCCCTCATCCCCGAAACATCTACATCAATACGGAGTACCTAGGCAGTTAGCCGTTACTTGCAGCTATTAACAGGTACTAGGTAGTTAATTAGTTAACTAAACTATCTACACTCAGATGCTTCCCTGCAAAACATACTATATTAGGACATCAAATATCAACGAAAGAAAAAAAGAAAGATGACAGCTGTTAGGGTAGTTGATCGAAATACTCAACCTGAGAATCGGTTGCAAAAAAAGAAACTTGAAAAAAAAATGGACTGTCAGGGAATCGAACCCTGGACCACCCCCATGCTAAGGGGGTATTATACCACTAAACCAACAGCCCCTTTTCATGTCATCACATGACCGGTAAGTTTTGAAAACGGCTCTCCCATCGATGCTGGACTGGTAACCAAAGCTAGACACTTATTAGAAGTGCAACAAGAATAACAGTAATGCAGCTAGATGCAGCCATGCAGCAGGCAGCTTTACGATAGCTCAACAGAAGCTCAGGGATCGGTTTGTACTTGATATATTCTATGAGAGCGTATGCTGAAGCATCCTTTTACGTTATCTGTTCAGTTTGTTTTACCGACACACCACCATGGACGTCTTCTCTGCAGTTTCTGGTTACATCTCCAAGATGGTGACGACGGGAGATGCGGCGGGCACAAGCTCCTCCTCTAAGATGAAGATATTGCTTCTTGATAGTGAGACCGTGGGAGACGCGACCCTTTTTCACTTAAAAATCTGATCTAACCGGCTGTATAGTTACCCATCGTGTCGACGGCCATGACGCAGTCCGCCCTCCTTAACCATGAGGTGTACCTCATTGACCGGCTTGATAACCAGTCTCGCGAGCGCATGCGGCATCTCAGATGTCTTTGCTTTGTCCGCCCATCTCCGGACTCCATACAATTTCTTATCGACGAACTAAGAGCGCCCAAGTACGGAGAATACTATATCTACTTCAGCAACATTGTTCGCAAGTCGTCGTTGGAAAGGCTGGCGGAGGCAGACGACCACGAGGTCGTGAAATCATTACAGGAGCATTTTGCCGATTTTCTCGTGATAAATCCGGACCTATGCCATCTTAACGTCGGTTTTCCTAGACAGCGGATCTGGAGCCATTCCCCCGACCTCTGGAATTCGGATGCCCTGCAACGGACGACTGAAGGAGTAATTGCGCTATTATTGTCCTTGAAGAAGACTCCCTTGATACGATACGAGAAAAACAGCCTGATGGCAAAAAAACTTGCTACAGAGGTTAGGTACCAACTTACCCAGGAAGAACAACTATTCAATTTCAGGAAACCGGACACACCTCCAATTCTACTTATTCTTGATCGCCGTGATGATCCAATAACCCCCCTACTAACCCAATGGACATACCAAGCAATGGTACACGAGATACTGGGAATCACCAATGGTCGAGTTGACCTTAGCGAAGTCCCAGATATTCGTCCAGAGCTAAAAGAGATTGTTATTGCCCAGGATCAAGATCCCTTCTTCAAGAAGAATATGTATCAAAATTTTGGCGACCTTGGTGGTAATATCAAGGAATATGTCGAACAGTACCAGTCCAGGACAAAAACCAATATGAACATTGAATCCATTTCTGATATGAAACGGTTTGTTGAGGATTATCCCGAGTTTCGCAAGCTTTCCGGGAATGTGAGCAAGCATGTCGCCCTTGTGGGAGAGTTGAGTAGGAACATCGGAGAACATGACCTATTAAACGTCAGCGAGCTAGAACAAAGCCTAGCTTGCAACGATAACCATGCGAATGACCTCAAGGTTCGTGCTCTAGCCTCTATTTTCTGCTGTATTTCTTCCTACAGACACGCTTACTTTTATCCTCTAGTCTCTCCAAAGGTTTATACAATCCCCTAACGTAACCGTGGAAAATAAGCTGCGCCTTGTTGCCCTTTACGCCATACGTTACGAGAAGCAACCTTCAAACACGCTTCCGGTTCTTCTCGACCTCCTCACAGCCGCTGGGAATGTTCCCTCGCATAAAATAAACATCATTCCTCAGCTTTTAGCATATTACCATTCCTTGCAAGCACCTCCAGTTGCTGGCGGGTTTTCAGACTTGTTCGAGTCAGCCTCTTTTTTAACCGGAGCTCGTGATCGGTTCAAAGGGCTCAAGGGTGTAGAAAATGTATATACCCAACATTCTCCCCGTTTAGAAGCTACTCTCCAAAACCTGATAAAAGGCAGGCTAAAGGAGCTCCAGTACCCTTTTCTCGAGGGTGGTGGGCATACTCGCGACAAACCGCAAGATATCATAATCTTTATGGTTGGAGGGGTGACATACGAAGAAGCAAAGATGGTTGCCCAAGTCAATGCCAGCTCACCTGGCATTCGGGTTGTCCTTGGCGGTACTTGCATTCACAACAGTACTACCTTCTTAGAAGAAGTGGAAGATGCTGTCGGCAACTGGCCTGAACCTCCTCCGACCACCGCGGCAGGACGGCTACGAGCTGAAATTAACCGATAACTTATATGTGTTTACTATTCTAACGACTCTTTTACTGCTATAATGAGTGTATATCGACGGTTCATGGCGTTCCTTATATAGGCAGATCTATTCTCGTTTATCCTTAATGCTTCAAGTGTCAAAAATGATGCCAAGAAATATAAAAAGCTTGATTGAATCGAATGAAACACATGGAACATCAAACATCATCATGATGCTGCTGTCATCGGAAAGACCCCGAACCACTTCAACACTACTCATCTATTAGGAGGTTGGAAAATCCGCAATTTCAGAGCTTACATTTTTAAACGATGGATTCACAAACTCATACATCGCCCGGCGTAAGTACGCGGGACTCTGGACTACGGCTGCCTTCCACCACAAACCCTCCTGGGCCCCAGAATCCTCCAAAGCAACTCGTATGGCTGGTAGGTAGACTCCGCAATATCTCGCACGTTTTCCTATATATTATTTTACGAAGTTAAGAATATGCTTGTCTATTTTTCATATATATTTGATGCGTAATAACGCCCGGTATATAGATCTTTGGTGCGACAGGCCATATCGGCCGTTCGGTGGTGAAATCGGTTCTCGGCCACAACGATCTGGTTGCGGCCGTTGGCCGTACATTCGAAACAACCCCCGAGAGCATGGGACGTCTTCACCAGGAAAACAAGAATTGTCTTGGTCTACTGTGTGATGTCCGCACCAGGGAGACGGTGAAAGCGGCTATTGACCGCACAATTGCTCACTGGGGGCGAATAGACATCGTGGCCAACTGTTCCGGCTACGGAGTGATCGGGGCATGCGAGGACCAGGAAGAGTACGATATACGAAATCAGTTTGAAACTAACTTCATGGGCACGCTGAATATAGTGCAATTGGCCCTTCCGCATTTCAGAGAACGCGGATCAGGGAGGTATATCATTTTCAGCTCGACTTCCGGCGCACTTGGAGTTCCTGGGCTGGGTCCCTATTGCGCTTCGAAGTATGCGGTTGAAGGGCTGATTGAAAGCATGTTGTATGAAGTCGACTGTTTCAATATCAAGTGCACGCTTGTTCTGCCTGGCCATATACGTCGTGATGACCATGACTCGATACCCGGGATGCCTGAGAGTCAAAGTTACCTTACCTCACCCTTGCCAGCCTTTGGACATTTCATGATAAAGCCAGCTAGTGAGCCGTACAGCGGAGTCACTGCCCCGGCTGCCCATGCGAGACGTATCTTGCAATGGCTAGGTGACAAACCGCCTACAAGTGCTGTGAAATCCGCTGAGCTTGTATGGCAGTTAGGCCACTGTTCTTATCCTCCATTAAGGCTACTGCTAGGCACGTATGCGGTAGAGAGCATCCGAGACAGGTTGAAATGTGTTACGGAAGAGATAGAAGATTGGAAGCACTTGAATTTTCCTTCGGCCGATCAACCACCACAGACCAACGCCTCCGCCAGAACAGAAGGGGATTCAGCAACGAAAGAAGCGGATGATCAATCGGCATCTAACGATATGCAAGTAACTGAATAAAGAACAAAAACGCCTCGAGTTATCCGATATTCTACACTGGCCACCTTTGGCCCCAGGATTTATCATAACCAACAGCCATGCCAGAACCTTTATGTTCCCCCAACACCTACCCCCCGCAAACCGTGGAAATAATCTGACTCCATTAATCATTAAACCGCCGATTTATTCGTGACGCGATATCTAACTCCCTTATAATGCCACGCTGTCTTCCGCGCCTTATCTTTGATTCATTATCTATGAGCGTCTTGAAATGAGGGTTATTTCCTCTTGAAGTGTACGCCGTGAGACATATTGAGGAAATGGGCGAATATTTGATCGGCTTCGTCGTCTATTTTGTCGTAGCGGGCTCCTAGGCGATATGCCGCTGCTGTACCAGATATCACAGCTACTTCATGCAAATTCTGCAAAAAAAGACATTTTCATCATTAGTGGGATATCCTGTGATTGAGCGTATGGACTGTGCCTCTGTTTTTGAGAAGTATGGAACTTACTGTGTAGGTCCACGAGCCAGCATAGAAGGTATTATTCCTTCCGTTCAGAAACTTCATGGCTGGCACGAGTTTTGCAAAGTGTTGCCATCTATGGGAAAGCTGGTGCCACCACTTTTGTTCGATGATCTTTTCCTGGTCGATAAGGTCCACCGTCCATACATGCTTCATGTCCTCGTCTATGAAGTGACTCTGGAATATGTGGTTCTCGAACGGTGGCAATGGGTCCTCGGTGCCATTTGGGTTCCGGAACTGGTATTGGAACCGAGTGCAGTCATATCCTACTTCCATCTTCTCTGGCCGCGCTTGGTAAGAAAACGTGCAATACGACGGCTGAAATCTGGATGTGGCGCCCTGTTCCCCCTTTGCAGCATTGATATGGTCTTTGTCTTCCTGCGTCTGGGCTTCGCCGCATATCTCATCCCGGTAATGTACCTCGAACTTTCTCTGAAAGTAGGCATAGTCGGAATGGGTTATGGTCAGGTCCTTGCACCATTGGGTCGTTCCCAATACTACCTTCTCTCGCCACGTTGCCAGGTTGCCTAAGAGGTCCTTTGCCTGGTCTCCTGGAATGCAAAAGACGATCTTATCATAAGGTTCCGACAAGGTCTTGTTCTTAATACCGCTATCTCCAATCCTGTGGTCTGAATCAATGCGACGGGTTTCCACTATTATACCCTTCTTGTTTCTTTGGAAGACATTGACGACCTGGGTATTGAATCGGATATTGATCCCCTTCGCACGAAGCCCTTCGGCCCAGTCCAGATAGAAACGACTCATGTTTGGGTATGCATATGCGGAGTGATTGAACGGCACGAGTGTTGACATGTCATACGACCAGAATTTTATCTTAGGGTCCTCGAGGAGGCCCTGGAAGAGCCCGCATGGCACATTACGGCCCTGATTGCCCATGCCAAAGAATATCGAGGTTGCCGGGTAGATGATCTTGTTTCCGAAGTCCTTTGAGAAGCCGAAGATGCGCAAGAAGACCCTTAGCGGGAGATGCCAGAGCAGGGAATACTGGCGGACCTTCCTGAGGAGTTCTCCGAACTTCCGTATCTCATCCGCATGTTCCTGCACGACGGAGGTTGGAAAGGCATTTGTCCAGAAATTCTCCTTCCCCTTGCCAAACGCGAACTGCAGGGTAGCCTCGTGCGGCTCGTGACCATATTCCCGGAAGAAGCTGTATGTGTGCTTGAATATCCCTGGACCGCCCTGAGCCCCGATGTTTACCCAGTCTGCTCCAAATTTGGCCTTGTCGATGGCGATGGACTTTGCCTGTCCGCCTGGTACGTTGTCCTTTTCGAGCAAGGTCACTTCGAACTTGTCCGGTTCTTTCGCTAGGGTTGCGGCGCATGACTAGACAATACAACACTTGGTTATTATTCACGCCATTCTCCATATTTTTCTTTTCTTTGGGGGGTAGAAGCAGCAGGTAGGCCAGGTATGGGCCGTAAACCTGGCCAGGCCTCGAAAACAAGGAGTTCCGTTCCAAACAAAAAAAGGAGTGCCACTCACCATCCCAGCAGCGCCTGCGCCTACCACCAGGACCTTAAGCCTGCGGTCCTCCTTCGAGGAGCGTTTCGAGGCCATTCCTGAGAGTTATCCGCAACGCGCGAGAGAATGTACAGCCTGGAGAGTTGACAGGTGTATATATACGTATATATGTCAACCCAGCCTGCAGATTTGTTGGCGTCTGTCATTTGGGCCCGGTTGCATAACCCTCCCGAGGAGGCTACGACCGAAGAGTTACGAGAACGAGTCTAAAACGGCAGTTAGGTGCAAGCAGGCTGGCCTCCCAAAGGCTAACCATGGTTCGCCTTCCAGCCAGTCCATGTTTTCCTTTCCTGCCTGTAGATCGTGTGGGAAGGGAGAGAAGTCATGTCCATGTATATATCCTCCATCTCACAGGCGGGTGTAACTTCCCAGTTCTTGATAGACGTATTGTATGCCCGTATCGATAGCGTATGCATACCTCCCCTAACTCCGCTTCCTGCCTGTTTGCCATCGGTACTCCGTATTTTATCGTAATTTACTTTCACGTGACCCGTCATATGCAGGTTGTCCAGGCTCCAGGCAATAACCAGGAAGAAGACCTTCTCCTTCTTCTTCTCCTTCTTTTGCCAGGGGGTGCCCGTTTTTTTAACAGGGCAGAAGAACAGATCGACACAAGCAACGCAGAGGAAGTGCCTCGAACGTGACTGCTGGCGACATTTTGATGATAACTTGCGGACCGTTTGCTGGACTGGATTGGAACGGTTTGGGCGAGTGAGTTCAGGCCCATGTGGATGCCGCACTACATACACTTACCCCAGACCTCGTATCTTGTGTGCGCATCGCATCTCAATCGCGCTCGAGCAGTAATAATATCCACTCGTTTCAGCCAATATCCAGCCAGGCTATTGAATTCCAAGAGTGCAAGCGCAGGAAGAAGAATAGCAGCGCCATCTGTTGTTTCTATTCTTATCATTCTCGGGGGGTTCCGGCCGGTTCTGGCATTTTGATCTGGACAACAGCTGCGAGGTGTTTGGACCGCGTTTAAATTCTGCGACGCGTCCACGTTGAGTTGGCTTCCTGCCTGGTCCCACGGATCAGGTAACTATGATGGACGATGACCTGCAGGCCGCGATTGACGCCTCGTTGAGGGATGCAGCAAGATCTCAGTTGAATTTACAGCGGCGTAAATCTTCTGTTGTTGATCTTACTTGTGATTCTGATGGAGACGCGTCGGCGCCGCAACTAGAAGGAGAAGGAGAAGAAGTAGAGAATGATGATTATGATGCAGACTTGAAGCGGGCCATTCAGCTGTCCTTGCAGTCAGGTCAAGAGCGTGAAACGATCGATGTTGATGCTTTGGAGGTAGGAGAGGCAGCCTCCGCTACCCCTGAACCAAAAAAGGAGGCTTCAGCTTCAGTGTCAGGGTTTGGAATAGCAGGGTTTGACAGGAAGAAGATGGAAGAAGAACGGCTGGCCAGGCTGGCGAAGAAGAGAAAGGCAGGAGAGGATGGTTCTGCTTTAGCTTTGCCAACTGCAAGGCCGTTGAAGGCATCAAGAAGTGAGCAGCCATCTGGGGCTTCATCTTCAGCCAAGATACCCATACCCCCAGCTACAGCAGCGACTAAGCCTGCGTTTCGAGCGTCTGGAGTGCCATCTACAGAGCCGACTATACAGTTTCCAGATGGCGCTGTGAAGAAAACGTGGGCCTTTGGGCACGAGAGAAGGGGCGACATCAAGCTTGAAGAAGTGCTGCAGCAGGCCGATCTGGAACTGGCAGTGCTCAGCTCGTTCCTATGGGACATGGACTGGTTGTTGGCGAAGTTCACCAACCCGAAGACACGGTTTCTCTTTATCATGGGAGCCAAGGGAGAAGAGAGGGTATGTCTTGATTTTATATATTAATTTATATATAATTTTGGTTTTTGGTGATGACTATCTAATTTATGACTATCTATAGCAAGCACAGCTGATGCGGGAGACTGCGTCGATGCCTTGGATACGGCTGTGTTTCCCGCCGATGGACGGAGAAGTCCACTGCATGCACTCCAAGCTGATGCTTCTTTTCCATCCGAACCATATGCGCATCGTGATACCTTCCGCGAACCTGGACCCGTACGACTGGGGAGAGAAAGGCGGCGTGATGGAGAATGTAAGTGCCCCCTTTTCATGCTAAGAGAGAGTATACACACGATAGAGTTATCGGGATGCTATTGTATACGTTCATAACTGTGAATAGATATAGAGTTGCCCAGCTAACGTGGATATGATGTTTCTTTTATTTTTATTTTCCGGATTAAAGATGCTGTTCCTGATCGACCTACCTCGCAAGGCTCGCGAGGCCGACGAGGACAAGACGCCATTCAGGGACGAGCTCGTTTACTTTCTTCGAGCGTCAAAGTTGAACGAGAAGATCATAGACAAGATGCTCCAGTTTGATTTTAGCAACACGACTAAATATGCTTTTGTGCATTCCATGTGGGTTTTTTATCTCCCCCTTCCTTCACCTTTATTTTTTTCTTTTTGGAGGGGGATTTTTCCCTTTTAACTATACGTGCTTAAATACCTTAACTTTTTTTTTTATTTTATTTTCCCAGCACCTTAAATTCTGTTTAACTATATTTTGTGAACTCTAACTATCTTACCTCAACCGACACACTTTACCCAGAAAGCTGAACGCTTTTTTAACTTAACTTGCGGTTGTTGACTTTTATTTTGATCCGCGATCAGAGGTGGTTCGCATATAGGCTCTGGCTCATACGAGCGCACTGGACACTGTGGACTCGGCACGGCGGTTAAATCACTTGGGCTGGAGACGTCACGGCCCTTGACGCTGGACTACATCGTGCGTTGTCCATGGACGAATGGCCGGGTGGAAGTGGCTATAACTGACTGACTGACGTGTCTAGACATCCTCCGTGGGCTCGCTAACGGCGACTTTCCTTCAAAACCTGTACTTGTCGGCGCAGGGTAAGTAGATCTACTCCGTTTCCCCCCTTTGATATGCGCGCAGTTCGGCGTTGGGCGAATCTAATGCATGTAATGGAATGGGCCTGCCTGACACGTCGTAGGGGACAACGGGTCGAGACAGCTATCCGCACGAGCAGCAGGGAAGCAAGGAAGCACCAACAAGAAAAAGAAGACGAGGAGCAATGATGATGATTATGATGATGGTAATGGTAACGATAATGACGCTGACTGGACGGGGCGGGTGAAGGTGTACTTTCCGTCGCGAGAGACCGTCCGAAGCAGTCGGGGCGGCGTATCGGCAGCAGGGACCCTGTGCCTGATGTCGAGATGGTATAACTCTCCGACGTTTCCCAGAGACGTCATGCGGGATAACCGCAGCGTGAGAGAGGGGTTGTTGATGCACAGCAAAGTAAGAATCCATGTCCGCACCCAACATAACTAAATAACTATACCTGCTACATACATATATGATGTGATGTATAGGGAGCGGAGCACCCCTGGCCAGCGAGCATACTTACATGTGGGTTTTTCTTGACTAGGTACTCTATGTCCGGCCAGAAGGGGTGGCTAGGACGGACATTAAGACGAAAGGGAAGAGTAAGGAGTCTGAGAGCGACCGCTGCCGCTATGCTGGATGGGCATATGTGGGCAGCGCAAACCTATCCGAGAGCGCCTGGTGAGTTGTACTCCGTGTAGTAATTAAAAGAAAAAAACCAACAGTACCTTCCTTCTCTGTACCCGGTCTGAACTGCCACTGCCACTCGCTAACGAAGAGGGGGGGCCCCGACTCGACTGCTAGGGGACGGCTGGTGATTGACCGCAAGACGAAGCAGGCCAAGCTCAATTGCCGAAACTGGGAATGTGGCGTTGTGGTCCCCGTGGGCAGCGTAGGATATGACGACGGGACGAAGAAGGATGAGCAGGATCAGAAAGAGGATGAGAAGGTGAAGGGGAAAGGGGAAGGAGAGCTGAGTCGGGTGTTTGGCGAGGCGGTGCCTGTTCCCATGCGAGAGCCTGACCGAAAGTACGCTGGGGGCGAGCAGCCGTGGTTCTACCTGGAGCATGGCCGTTAAGCCAACTATTACTCTATTACATTAGTTGGTTTCTTATGTACGTATAAGTACAGTATGTATGTATGTATATGTACTATAGACGGGCTTGGGGGTGGCTTTCCAGCCAGGCTTCGTGCCTCATGTCTGTCTGCCCGTCCGTCCGCTGCGTCTGAGTCTGCGTCTGCGTCTGCGTCTGCATGCATCTTCACCGACTCCAAGACGCTTTTCTACGGAACTACTCTGTACTCCATCTTGCTACCGTATCTGAAGTACTCCGTAGTTGTCTTGAACATGCATCAGAGTTAGCAGTAACCTACTTACAGGAGAAAAGCCAAACTAGTGTCCAACGGGTTCATGCCCTCCGCTGATCCCTAGTACTACCTCATGTATCTATCTTCAGCAAACATTACCACATAAGAAGTTAACTAAGTAGAGACGGACTAACAGAGAAAGACGGAGAGAGAAGTCTACCTTGTTTTTCCTTTTTCTTCCCTGCTCCTCTTTCGCCGTGCATGCATTAGTCTGCCTGTTAGTCTATACAGACACACATACATACATAAGTCCATCCATAAGATACAGACACTACCTAGCTTAATACAGAAACAGAAACAGACAGACAGGCTGAAACAAGAACAAGCCCAACCTCGAACCCCCCCCTCGACCAACCAGCAGCATCAAGCCATCAGCCGAAGCCGAAGTAATGGATGGCATCACGATAAGAAGCAGCTAGAGGAGAGGTTGAGGGTCTGACCGCACTCCACAGCCATGGCCACGGCGAAGCATCTCAAGCCAGACGAGGGGAGGGCAGAAGCAGATGGTAGAGTAGCAGGGGGAGGGAAAAGCAAAGCCAACCTCGTATTCCGTCGGCCGTTCTCCACGAGCAAGCAGCAAGCGAAGAGAGAAAGCGAAAAAAGGCGCATCATGGGCAAGGATGGGATAGGGATGAGGCAGGGATGGACATGGACCAGGGGAGGTCAGGATCGCTGGTCGAGGGCCGAGAAGGAGAAGTTGAGTTGATGTTGAAGAAGCTGAAGAGGCCAGGGGTCTCTGTCTATCGCATCCGTTCGTCCGTCTTACTGTCTTTTACTGTCTTCTTACTGTCTGCTGTCTCCGTAACTCTGAGCTTCTTCTTTCTTCCTCTTCTTCGTCTTTTGACTTGACTTTCGGGAGACCCTTTAAGCATGTCAGATCTCTATCTTATCCACCGTCTAACCCGTCTCTATAACCCCGTCTCTACCATCTATTACTATCTATTACTATCTACTACTACCATCTACTACTACGGGTACCGACGGAGACGGCTTGTCCTGTAAGTAACAAGTATCTTCTGTAAGTAAAGAGAGACTTAAATGATAGGTATGGAAAAGAGAGCGGCCCACCCTGTGTCTTCTTCAGGCCGCATCCCTGACCAGCCGTTAAAGCAAGTCTCTCGTGTCTATCTCTATCTCTATCCTCTATCACTATCGTATCTCTATCCTCTATCTATCTGTCTGTCTATCTATCTTATCCTCTCTATCATCTATCTATCTGTCTATTCTAAAACGAGACGTCATCTTCATCTCTCTCCTTCGTCATCTCTCATCTCCTCCTTCGTCATCATCTCCTTCTCCTTCGTCATCATCATCATCATCGCCATCCGCCATCCACCACCCAGCGTCCGCCATCCCATGTCTGGCCTATCAGAGAGACGTGTAAGCGGGTGGAGGAGGAAGGGAAGAAAAGACGGCATCTCTGTTACTCTTCTCCTTACTCTTTACTCTCTATCATCTCTATCATCTCTATCATCTATCAACTCTACTATCTAGTGTCTCTATCGACTTCAACTCTTCATCACTCTAGGTTAACTCCACGACGCCGACTCCCTGGCCATGGACTGGAAAGTGTAACTTTACTCTCGCTCGTCTTGACTTTCTTGACTTTCTTGACTTTCCTCTAGGTCTCTCTTTTTGCCTCCTTTTCACAAGTCAGAGAGCAGGAAGAAGAAAAGAAAGGCCGAACTTGCTTATTCCGCGTATCAAGCTAGTAACAACTAGTAGTATTAGATGTAAGTGGTAAAGATGCTTGCTTTTTCTCTTCCAGGCTTTCTTCTTCTTTCTTACTCGGCAAAGGCAAGGTAGTAAGAGCAGTGGTAAGAGCAAGACCCAACCCATCCCATGTCCATATCCATATCCATGTCCACGTCCATGTCCGTCCTCTTTACTTTTTATGATAGTTACTACCTTACCACCATCCTGGGGCAGGGAAGAAGAAAAGAAGAAAAGAAAGAAGAGGAAAAGAAAAGAAAGGAACTCTCTTAGGAGCAAGACGAGAGACGAAGAGCGAGAGGATGAGACGAAACAGACGAAGCAGAGGGAGGAAGAAGAAAGAGACGAGCTGAAAGTGTATATTCATGCTTAATTTTACGCTTCTTGGAGCCGCTGCTGATCACGAAGTCAGTAGTTGAATAGAAGAAGTTGAAGGGAGAGAGAGAGAAAGTAGGCAGAGTAGGAAGAGAGAGACTTGGACGAGATGAAGCAGGTAAAGAGTAAGAAGCAGAGAGTGAGTAGGTTGGACCAAGGCATGGATGACAGCGACAGGTAGAAGTAAGTGACAGCAGGTAGAAAGAGTGACAGCAGAGACAGTAAGAAGGAGATAGTAAGAAGAGAGCAAGAGAGAGACGCCACCGCCACGAGTGACGAAGAGAGAGCAGTAGACATAGCAGAGAAGACAGTAATAGAGAGTAAAGAGTAGTAAGAGAGAGAGAGTAAAGAATATCCTCGTCATCTGCTGGCGGTTAAAACATCCCTGGAGTTGCTTTTCTTCTTCTTCTTCTTCTTCTCTTTTCCTCCCGCCCTTCCGACTCCCTCGACTCTCAACTTCTTCCTCTTCCTCTTCTTTTAACTCTCGCCTCTTCCTGTTGCTCTTTTGCTCTTTTACTTCTTCTTGCTCTCTTACTTCCTCGTCCTCGCCGTCGATCAGCTTACATAGCTCGTCCCAGGGTTGGTTGCCTCTTCTTCTCTTCTTCCCTCTCTGCTTCTTAAGGGCTCGCCTTCTTCCTGGCTTTGACCTCGACTCTAACCTACGCTTGTTCTTGTTCTCTCTCTTACTCTTCTTACTCCTCTTACTCTACTCTACCCTTATTCCTCTGACTTCCTTACTTCCTTGCTCTGACTTCCTCACTCTGACTTCCTTTGACTTCCCCCCAACCTAGAGTCTGTTGCTGACGTTGATCACGTAAAGAAGGCCTCGTCCCTTGTCGTTTTGACTCTGGTGTTATTCTTCTTTCTGCCACCGTCGACCTCACCACCACAACACAACACCAGCAGCACCAGCAGCAACAACACAACAACAACATCACGATCAAGACGACTCCTCAGTACACGATGGGCAACGGCTCTGCGGCCGTCCTCGAGCCGACGTACACGGGCTACGTCGCCTCGACTCACGACGCCCTCATCCTCTTCGAAGCCTGCCTCACGGGCGTCCTCCACCACGTCCCCCGCCGCCCGCACGACCGCGAGCGCGCCCAGCTCGTCCGCTCTGGCTCCGTCTTCATCTACGAGGAGAACGCCTCGGGCATCAAGCGCTGGACCGACGGCGTCACCTGGAGCCCCTCGCGCATCCTCGGCAACTTTCTCGTCTACCGCGAGCTCGACAAGCCCTTCCCGCCCGGTGAGAAGAAGCGCGCCGTCAAGAAGGGCAGCAGGCGGCCCACGCAGTCCGGCAGGGCCGGCGAGCCATACCCGCGTCTGCAGGACAATGGCACTCCTGTTAATGGCAGTGTTGGCTCGGTCGCCAGCGTGACCGGCTCTGCCTACTCCCCCGGCGCTCCCTCCCCCATTGGCGCTGCCACGGGCGGCCATGGAGGTGGTGGTCCCCCCGGCGGGCCTGTCTCTGGCAACGGCACCGGCTTTGCTCCCGAGCGTGGCCAGCAGTCGGAGCTCGAACGCGCCCTCGTCGGCTCCCTCGTCGACTCCTACGGCTTCAAGGACTCTGGACTTGTCAAGAAGACCATGAGCGTTACTGTCTCCGGTGTCACCCACCATCTCGTCTCCTACTACAGCGTCGACGATGTCATGCGCGGCGCCCTCAGCCCGCCCAGCATGGTCGAGTCGCTCAGATACATCCGCCCTCGCCAGGAACTCACCACCAAGCAGAGCTTCCGTGCCCCCATCGAGGACCCGGACCAGCCCAGCCTGGACGACGGTGACCCTTCCCAGTCCCTCTACGGCTACCGTCCCAATCCCGCCGCTGCGGCTGCCATGGTGCCCCAGTACGGCATGCCCCAGAGCACCGGCTACTACGCCATGCCTCCCCAGCCGCCCTACTCCTCGCACCACCACCAGCAGCACCAGCAGCACCCTCCTCCGCATCAGCAGCACCCACAGCAGCACCACCAACATCCCTCGCACCAGCAGCAGCAGCATCAACAGCACCACCAACATCCTTCACACCAACAGCATCCTTCGCAGCAGCCCCCACCGCCGTCCGTGCCCGGCTACGGAGTCGCGCCACCACAGCAGAACCCTTATCTGCAGCAAAGTCCCGCAACCGCGGCCTCAGATCTGCCCTCCAAGTCGGAGGAGTACGCTTCCTACCGCGGGCCCTCAGCTGCCGCCGCCTACCAGAATGCCGCCGCGGCCGCTGCTGCTGCTGCCTATCCACCCTCCTCGGCCGCTGCCTCTGCCGCTCCTCACATCTACCGCACCCCAAGCATACCAACCAGGCCGGGCCCCTCCGACATGCCGCCCACCTCGCTCGACCCAGCCGGCTCTCCCAACGCGTCCACCCACTTACTCTCGCGCAAGCTTCAGCCTGCCCGGCTCCATAGACTCCAAGCCCGGCCAACCACAGACCTCTCCCCAGCAGCAGCAGGCCCCTCCCCCCCAGCAGCAACAGTCTCAGCAGCAGCCACCGTCCCAGCAGCAGCAGCAACAACTCTGGACAGGTCACCATATCCACCCTCTTCCGCCAGACGCGAATCAGGTTACTAACAACCAGTGCTCAGGCTCAGGCGAAGTTTTTGGCTCTAGCTCAGGA